CCCCCCATGCACCACCTCCTGGAGCCGTCCGCGGACATGGCGACGGCGCTGCTCGCGGGCGAGAAGCTGCGCGAGCTCATCCTGCCGGGCGCGCAGGACGACAAGGCCGGCGCGCTGGCCGCGCTGCTGCTGCAGCTGAAGCTCGAGCTGCCGTTCGACCGCGTGGTCACCATCGGCACCGTGCTGGTCCCCATTCTGCTCGTCACCCTGGTCTTCACCAAGAACTTCGCAGGTGAGGGGCCGCGGCTTCCCGCCCTCCAGAGCGCTGTCGAGCGAGCGCTGTCTGCTGCCGCACCAGACCGCGGGTGGCACAGGGCGGGGAGGGCTGGGGGAGTGGCGCTGGGTGACCCGCTGCTGCGGGGTGCCGGGCCCTGCCCTTAGCAGCGGTGTTCCTGGGCCCGGCCGCAGGCTGGCCTGCAGCAGGGTGGGGGCCCACGCCGCCCTAGCTGGCGGGCTCCTCCGGCCAGGGAGGCCGAGCCAGGGCCGTGGCCGGGGCTGCAGAGGGCGAGGGGCAGCGAGGCCGGCACCTGCCCCTCTGGGCCTAACGGAGGGCCCCTGGCAGGACAGAGCCCCCAGATGGGAAGGTGCCTGGAGGCTGTGGGCCACTCCGGGCGTGGCCTGCCCAGGGGTACCCAGGGTCACGACCTGATGCAGGAGGTGGTTCCCTGCCTGGCGTCCGGCTGGCCACGTGTCCAGGAAGGCCTTGGCGCCCTGAGAGCCTGGCGGGGTCCACCTCCCGCACGTCCAAGGGGTGGGCAGGGGTGCTCTGCACCAGTCGCCCCGAATCACGTTCTCACGTCCAGCCCTCCAGGGTGCGCTGGACCTGACGGGGACGTTGTCCAGGCCACCTAACACAGGGGCTGCTGTCGGCCCTCCGGCAGGGTGCCCAGTGTCCAGCACCCCCACGTGTCCTTGCCTGGCGCAGAGCAGCAGGCTGTGGCCTGCAGGGCAGTGGCCGCCCGAGGGGAAGCTGGCCACGGGTGCCCTGGGCTCCCCCAGAGCCACACCCGGGCCCAGGGCGGCTCTGGAGCCCCCGCTCAGCCGGGCCCCGGGGCAGACGCCGGGCAGCCCGAAGCCCCTTGGAGTCAGAGCGGCGGCCAGGCCGGCGAGCGGCCCGGCAGCAGGAGTCCCGTGGCTGGTGCCGTCTGGATGCTGAGAGGCCCTGGCGCTCGGGGACAGGGAGACCCTGGCGTGCTGCCCGGCCGTGCTGCCCAGGCCTGGAAGGCAGAGCTGGGAGGACCAGCTCCCACCCGAGCCCCAGGTCCCGCTGCCCCACCGGAGCTGGCCCGCGGCCGGGAGACCTGGGGCTCCCCTCTCGGTGCAGGGGGCACCCCGTCCGCGGCCGCTGGTCTGAGAGAAGAGCCGCCTCCTTCCTCGCCTCCAGGGTTGGCTGTCGGGCAGAACTCCGCGAATAAAAATGCCGTCCAGGAGCTGGCTCCTTCGCCTTTTCCCTTCTGGTGCTCTGAGCCCAGCTCATCACCAGGCCCTAAAATCGTGTCCTCCTGGGCCCTGGGAGGTGGCCCTGGCGGCACCCTCCCGAGCCTGGGCCCCAGCCTGCCCCCTGCACCGGGCCTCGCCCTCGAGTGAGGGGCGTGCACCGCCTTGGGGGTCCTGAGCAGACCAGCGGGCCAAGCTGAGGACAGGGGCTCATGGGCCGCGCCTCGGGCTGCTGCAGGGCCCGACGCCAAGGACACCTGAGGGCCCAGCCGGCTCCCAGCTCCGCTTGCGCCGGGGGTCTCACACCTGCCATCTGAGCGGCCAGCACGCTTCCTGCGGGGTGGGCACAGGGCCCTGGAGACACTGGCCCTCGGCATGCGGGTGCCGCCCCGGAGGTGGCTGGGCAGGGCGGGCAGGGCCGGGGACCAGGCTCGGGCAGCCGGGCAGAGGGTCGGGCCTGAATGGCCTTGCTCGTCTAGCCCCGGGGCCGGGGGTGAGTTCAGGGTGCAGGTCCGTCTCTGGGTCTAAAGGACCGTGCATGCGGGTCCCAGGGCAGCCCCTCCCCCACGCCCGGCCGGAGAGGGCGGCTGCCGCTCGGGGTTCCCGGTGGGGGCGGGCGGCGGGCCCCCAGCGGCTGTCCTGTCGCCCGCAGAGGAGCCCATTTACTGTTACACCCCGCACAACTTCACGCGCGACCAGGCGCTGTACGCCCGCGGCTACTGCTGGACGGAGCTGCGGGACGCGCTGCCCGGCGTGGACGCCAGCCTGTGGCCGTCGCTGTTCGAGCACAAGCTGCTGCCCTACTCGCTGCTGGCCTTCGCGGCCATCATGTACGTGCCGGCCCTGGGCTGGGAGTTCCTGGCCTCCACGCGCCTCACCTCGGAGCTCAACTTCCTGCTGCAGGAGATCGACAACTGCTACCACCGGGCGGCCGAGGGCCGCGCGCCCAAGATCGAGAAGCAGATCCAGTCCAAGGGCCCCGGCATCACGGAGCGCGAGAGGCGCGAGATCATCGAGAACGCCGAGAAGGAGAAGAGCCCCGAGCAGAACCTGTTCGAGAAGTACCTGGAGCGCCGCGGCCGCAGCAACTTCCTGGCCAAGCTGTACCTGGCGCGGCACCTGCTCATCCTGCTGCTCAGCGTGGCGCCCATCTCCTACCTGTGCACCTACTACGCCACGCAGAAGCAGAACGAGTTCACCTGCGCGCTGGGCGCCGCCCCCGCCGTGCGGGTCAGCTGCAAGCTGCCGGCCGTGCAGCTGCAGCGCATCGTGGCCGGCGTGGACATCGTGCTGCTCTGCTCCGTGAACCTCATCATCCTCGTCAACCTCATCCACCTGTTCATCTTCCGCAAGAGCAACTTCATCTTCGACAAGCTGCACAAGGTGGGCATCAAGACGCGCCGCCAGTGGCGCCGCTCGCAGTTCTGCGACATCAACATCCTGGCCATGTTCTGCAACGAGAACCGCGACCACATCAAGTCGCTCAACCGCCTGGACTTCATCACCAACGAGAGCGACCTCATGTACGACAACGTGGTGCGGCAGCTGCTGGCCGCGCTGGCGCAGTCCAACCACGACGCCACGCCCACGGTGCGCGACGCCG